AACAGCTGAAAAGAAATGCTCGTCTTTGATCTGATAGGAAGTCTGGAGAGAGTGGGCAGGGCTGCGAGTGCAGTGAGGATTTTTTTTTTCTAGCAGGATCCTGAAATCCAAACTGTTTCTTCTTGTTTTTCTTTTCTCAAAACTCCAGGTCCCTGAAATTCCTCTCTCTTTGCTGAATGAAACCTTCCATCTCACCTAGGGCAAGGTTTTTCTGATGGTCCCAAATTCCACCGGGTCCATCCAACCTCCAGCTTCCCAGGGCTTCTCAATGAGAAGCTGCTGTCTCTTTCTACTAAATATTACAGCTGGTGCCTTCAGCGAGGCACCACGTCTGGGCAGAGGTGAAATTAAATCTTGTCATTTTTAAGAATTATTTAATTATTTGACATATATAATTACCCTACCCAATCCAAATGTCATGTTTTATCATGATGTTCATCCATTATTCATTTCAAATAAAATCTAACAAGGATTTCATAAGAGGTCACACAGTTATCACGACAATATTTTCAGAAATTCAAACGTGCCAGAGCGAAGCTGCTGGATTATTTTTCCGGGATTATTTTTTGGTGCTATCCTCCGTAATACAAATGCCATGATCTGTAATTGAAAAGCTGTGGCGTCTCAAAGTTCTGTGATCTGTTTTGATTCAATTCTTGTGATGCACACGTGCAGCAATTTTCCTATTGGTGAAGGGCGAGCCAGTCAAAGCAAATGCCCTTTCAATTCCATTAGCAGTTGCATCAGTCTCTTAATGGAGAGTAAAATGGCACAAGACCTTTTGCAGTACTCACACAATGAATATGAAAAGACTTTCACTGAGCTTGCCAAGCTTTAGTGAGTGCAAAACGGCTTTTAATTGTGTCCTGACTCCGTGTTGGAACATCATGCGCAGTATTCAAGGCTTGTCAATTCCATAATCAAAAAAAGATTTTCAAAGGAGCGAACATCTTACAAACCTCATTTGCCCGGGTCTCATTGCAAAAATAAATAAATAAATGGTGCAAAATGCTTGAAAAACAAGATGCATTAAGAAGTCTGCTTGCAGACGATTACAACCTGTGACACAGTTATTCACAATACTCTGAACTCAGGGAAAGGAAAGAAACATTATGTTACGTGGAACGCCAAACAGAAACTGTTTTCCTGAGGAAACAAATGCTGTAGGAATCTTCTGGGTGATCAATTAAGCATGGTATTGAAGATATGTTTTTCTCTGATTAACACGGCATAATGAATGAGTGTTTAGACATCAGACATTAAAACCAGGGCATTAAAACAAATTAAAACAAAGATAATTTCTGGGTGCTGTTGTGACGGCTTTGATAGGTTGTTCGAGCATCATTAAGATGGGAATGAGACCGTCATTTTAGCGTTGGCATGCAGTATTAATCACAAAGGTCCTTTTAGAAGCATGTCGCTGATGGAGACGATGACAAGCTGACGTTGAGGAATTATACTGAGGAGGCATCCGTCTTGATCTGATTTCAAAGCAAAGCTCAATAAACCACACAGCTGTTTCATCTGCCTTCCAAGTTTGCACATTAAAGGCCGTCTTAATTCTCTCTGTCTTGATGGAAGACAATGCCAGAATTTCTTAGACTCATTTGTTGTGTGTGTGTGTGCCTTTTAAGGGCAGTCAAAATAATGTATGCTTGTGAATCAGAGTGGCAAAAGCCCGTATTTGTCATGGTCTGCCCCAGTGGCTTTCAGACATGCAACTCTTGCACTGAAGTACACGCAGAATGAGCACCGCTAGTGCCACATTTTCCCTTTGAGTTACCTGGAATCTTATAGGTTTTCATCATAGTGAGACCCTGTGCTGAGTATAAAACTGTTTGTCAGAAATTGGATTCAAACCTACACCTCAAATTGGAGACCAGAAACCATAGCGCCTGACATCACTCAGACATACTGACACCTACTGCGTGCAGGGAAATTGAGCGCATGAAAGATATACACGGTGTTATGACCTATACTTAAAAAAAAGCAGCCACCGTACAGTCAGAGCTCTAAAAAAGCCCTGAATTGAACGAATGAGGACTGCAAGTTTAGAATAGACACACAATTAAAACGTTGACTGTAGATGCTTGATCTTGACTGTGTGAGATTGATAGAATTTGAGTGGTAAAAGCATCCACAAGGAGTCAGGTTTAAATACTTAAAAGTTCAATAGAGCTTAGTCGTAAAGGATTAAGTGCTAATATGCAGAGCAATAGAAAGGTGTGTGTTGTGTGTTCGTCAGGTGAAGAACACACAAGAGACTCGTTTTTATTGTCTTTTTAAGCCTTTACGTCTTCATCGGCGATGTGGTAAATTTAGCCCAATCTACGTGTTTCTGTTGTTGTGAGACGATCGATACCAGGTTTTTCACATTTACAAATGTCAGACAGTTGACTTTTCCTGTTGGATCTTTGGAGGTTACAGACGCATCAATGCAGCCATGTTGAAGTGTGTAAACCTGTTCATACAGCCGCTTTAATTCACTTCATAGGTGTTTATCCTCCGTGCACTTTGTTGTGCGATTAGGCCCTCAAATTTTACCGCGTGTCAAATCCCTCTCTTCGGAAGGTTTCTGGTTATTGTGTGCTCAGATTATTTCACTCAGCGTCTCTCCTCACCGACAAAAACAGCTCATTTAAAAAAAATTGCAGGAGAGTTTGAACATTTCAAGCCACTAGGAGGGAAAGGAATAAAAAAAACACAGATGTGTTCTATTCCTGTGAATAAAATTGCACATTCAATGCAAACTCCATATTTTTTTATGGCTCTTAAGTTACCCCGTGCTGCTTTTGAAGCTCCCAGGGCAGCGGCAAACTAAACGAGGACAATCAAGATGTGGAGATCAATATGTAAACACTAGGATGAATGGATGCAGCTTTGTTCAATATCTGCCATGTATCTTTATTTGTAATTCCTTATGGGAAGGTAAACATTTTTCAGACTTTTCTATATCTATTATGTCTGTGAGAGATAGGGGGAAACTAGGCAGCAGATCCATGTGTTTAAAGAAAAAAAATGAAGAAAACCTGAATTGACTTTAAGAAGAAAGAAAAAGTGTTCCACTTTAACAATTTCTAGCTGTCGACAGTCGCTCCACCTGATTTTCTTTATGTTTTTCTCACTAATCTGATTTTTTCTTTCACTTACATCTTACTGTTAGACTAGGGCAGGATAATTATATGAAAGATGTTAGAGTTGGAAAGAGAGGCAACCCCCACGGGTGCTGCAGGCTCATACAGTGGTGAGAGGCCTGGAGGTGAAGGAAAAGCGGCCAGCGTTGGTAGATAACTCACATTTTCTATCAGCCTACTAAGCACTTTCCTAATAGGGCTCACAGTCTCGCCCAGGAGATGAGTGGACGTCTCTTGTATTCGTTATCACAAAGTCATGCCACTCTTATATATTTTAAATGCCAGAGCTGCAACTGATCTCTGGTAATTCATGCTTCATTTAGATATCACAATCGGCTTTGAGCGTGTTGGCGTAGGGTGCTGAAGGGATCATGTTTGATTGGGTTTGATAAAACTCTAATCACAGTCCACGAAAAAGGAGGGGGAAAAACAACCTTCATTTGCTTCTGATGATTTTGCTTTTATGGTCTTTATGGCCACATGCTGTTGCTCTGTAATTGCAGTCAGGAAGTAATTAATCCTTGATTGGCCTTCTGCACTGTGGTGTTGTGGATTCATGTTACTCCTGATTCTGTTTGTTCTCAGTCTGTGTGTGCGTCCATCTTAGTGGAATAGAAAGGAAATGTCTTCTGAAAGTTAAAATAGCATCTCTTTTAGTCTTCTTGTACATTTCCCATTGACAGCAGCCTCATCCTCTGTAATCATCACAGAATTCCTCGTGGTATATTTTTGATGTATTCCTATATTGGAGCTAACAGGGACGTCTTGAGTTGTACTAATAGGATGCATGTACAGTAGCCTGAAGCTTTTTCCCTCAAAGCAGTGGAAATGATTGCCTTGCTCTAAATGGCATTTATGTTTCCTGCTAGCTGTGTGGAACCAAACGGCTCATTTGCCTGCATTGAACAGCTCGTTTTATGCACAGAAGGACACGCTGAAGGGTGGAAGCACATACACACAACACACACACACACAAGGAAACAAAGTGCATGGTCATTAGGACCCCTATTGAAAAAAAAACATAGCTTGTGTCCTTTCATGGACTTGCTCTGTGCAGTCAGATGGTAGCGTGGACCCAATTCTGATGTTCACTGCATGCTTGTAAAAGCAAAGGTTAACTCATGCACTGACCTCCGGTGCAGATGTGTGTGATAAATCTCAACTCCTTTAGGCTTTAAACAAATTCACGCTGCCATTGCAAAAACAACAGAAGCTCCTATAAGACACAGCTCCTGGCTTTCTCCATACTCTCCAAGCCTCTGTAAGGCGAGAAAGATGATACCCATTTGGAGCTCATTGGAGCAAATCAGAATTGTCAGCACTGTGGGTTTTTACCTTTTAAACAGGGAAGATGGATAGATAATCACCACATGCCATTCTGGGGGCCAATTACACAGCTTTGTGTGAAATTGGAAAACCTGTTCTTTCGGAGCCCTAATGGATGTTCTGGTCATTAGTTATTTGAGAGTCTGCTCTGGCTGTAATCAAACGTGAAACATTGCGTTAAGCGCCCATAAAGGAACAGCTGCCTCTCTAAGTGACCTTCTGTCTAAGAGAACCCAACTGTCAGCCGTGTGGTGTTTTGTGACAATTATTATGTGTATCTCCATAAAAAACAGCTCTTTCCGCAGTGGTTGCATTTTACTTTTATGTCTTGCTCTTTGCTTGTATTTACTTTTCTTGGTCTGTGAAGTGGCTGGGAGACTTTCATATCCTGCATACCAGGCAGATGCATGTCTTCACCATCTGCTGCTGCTTCGTCCTCAGAGTCATGTCTCAGCTCTTTGTGGAAATTTAGCAAATTACAATATAGTTTACATTCGGCCACCGATACCTGAAATAACGTTCAATTTTTTTTCTCTTCAGGTGACCATCTGTCCAGTCAACAGGCCCCGCCTCCACTCCCACCAGCCCCGCCTCCACACAAGCAGCACCCATCCATCACCTCGCTGAGCCGCAGCTCGCTGGCCAATCAAAGGAGCCCGAGTCCACCGCCTACAGCCGGCCTGGCGGCTGACTTGCAGAGTACGGCGGAATGCGTCCAGCTGCAGGACAGCTGGGTCCTCGGCAGCAATGTGGCCTTGGAGAGCAGGTGAGTGACCCACAGCAGCCTGCAACAGAACCAGAAAATCCCGTTCCTGGATGGTGTCATGGTCACTGACTCAGAAAGCAGAATGATAAGAAATAAATGAGCTGCGGCCAAATTCAGCTTATTATTTTTATTTCTTTTATTTCAGTTCTGTTTCGTTTAATGCTCCAAAGGCTTACCTATCAAATCCTAAACCCTTTAATTAAGCCTTAGGGAGAAAGGAAAACTTATAACTTTGTGGAAGTACTTTCTTGTATTTTGCATTTTGCCTTAGTTTTTCTGGCTCCTTCCCTCATCAGCGCTCTAGTATGTTGGATAGTTCATGAGAAATCAGATAAAAGCTCATATTGTTAAAACTCAAAGCCATGACTAATGTCTTAGGTGCGGTTCGCTTTTGTGACAAAAACATTAAAAAGATAAGAAAAAATTAGGCAGCGCTGATTATCCTTAGCTGATGATGTTATTAGTCTTTTAGTGTCACTCTTCCAAGCGTAAGTAGGTAATAAAAGGATAATTTACTTGATTATTTCTAATATTCAAGGAGGTCTTAATTTTTAGGACACTTTGCATTTCTTTTCATCATGTGGTCATGCAGGAGGAAACAAAAGAAAGAGAAACAACTGGACATACGTCAGTCCCTATTAAGTTACAGAGAAAATTAATATCCGTGGACGACGTGGTCTGGACGACATTGACTTGTGAACCCGGAAGGTTGTGTTGATTTACCGGCCAGGAAACGACAAAGCGCATCTCGGCTAGTAGGAGCTAACAGTTAGCATTAGCAACTCCACAACATGGCATAACAAGCTCAAGCTTGTGCTCTTTATGGAGATAACACATTACTGTTTGCTTTTTTTTTAAAAGAGCGAGAACACAGGCAGTGGAAGAGTAGCGTTGCTATTAGCCAATCAGAGGCCAGTTGTTTGCAAATCATGAAAACGTAAAAACAATACAAAAAAGAATAGGAATCCTGCTGTTCACCTACCCACTACACCGACAAACGTCTATCTCCTGAAACACGAGCACCAGTTTTTTTTTTCACAAATAATGACTCACAAGTGATTAACTTACACTAGAGACCACATCCAGTTTGTTTTAAAAAACGAGTAACATTTTTTCCCAAGGCTCTTTGTCCTGTCTGCCCACAGAGCGCTTCTCTGCATTTCTTCTGAAAAACTCTTATTTTTTACTAACCATGGATTTGATAAACTGGTCATTCAATGCGATTGATAAGATTTTTTCAATAATGAGAATGGAGCAGGGGGCTCCCACATGTCCACAGGGGACGCACCCGGTGGGGTATATTTTGTATTCCCGTAAGGAGTGGAAGATCATATGCCTCAGCCAGCTGTCCATTGAGGGCATCGAAGACGTGTGGATATTTGGTCTGATGATCACTGGATTTCTCCTGATTGGAGTGGGAGGATATCTGGTTTTCTGGAAATTTGGGAAGACGGGAGCAAGCGATTGGAGGGCGACCTGCACCCACGGAAAGCACCGTCCGTGTGGAGACTTCTCAGACTGGGACTTTACTCGAGGTGAATCGTAAGCTGGACATTGTTCTAGCTGCGATACCGGTATTAGTGCGCAAAATGGATGTCATCTCGGAGAGAGTCACCGGATGGTATGGATAAGTTTAAAAACCCAAAATTGGCTTCACTGAAGGACTGGAAATGATCAGTTTAAAGACTGAAGGCAGAGAGGAAAATTATCTCAGCCTGACCCAAACAAATACTTGTTATCTGAATCTGACGCCCTGGCAGCCTTGAGCTGCAAGCACCTAAAACCCCCACGAAGGAATGCAGACAGATGCGACCCCCCCCCCCCCCCCCACCCCCCACCCGCCTTCGGATTGGTGGACTTCAGCCTGGCGAGGTCATCAGCTGGAGGAGTCAATGTGCTCTTCGCTTCTTCCAAGATCTCCCTCCCGCCTGTGACTACAGTAGATGAGCACCTCAGATGGCTGCTCTTGCTGGGGGAAGCAGGATCCCACCCCCACCGCCTTCCTATTGGAGTCTCATGTTGTGAACTTTTGATGTTCCTGCTTATATGTTTGAGGTGCTTTTTTGCATAGCAAAGCTACGCCCTGTCGGGAGTACCTCTGGAATGCCTTTTTTCCCCTCCCCCAATGTATCCTCATGTAATCCCCTTTTCATCTAAGTGAAATGAGCGCCATTCATGGCTGCTCTTGTGGTCTGCCTGTATCTGTTTTGTCTACGTGTGTGTGTATAACCTTGGTCAGGCTGTGCTGCGGAGTCAAATTCCTATGCTTCGGGACGCTGGAGCACTGGCAATAAAGCTATTCTGATTCTGATTGTCATTCTGGAGTGAACGAGAGCTTTAAAACAATTTCAAGCTAAAATCTAATTAATCAGAGCAGTTCATGTAAGTGCAAGTTCATAGTCATCCATTTCCATAAATTTCACTCTTCTCAGTTAGGGTTAGGGTTAGGGTGTCCAGATCCATGGAAACTATGGGATGTGATGAACCGTTTGTAACTGGCACCTCAGGTTAGCCATTAGCTTAACCAGTCAGTAAGGCCTCATCATTGTGTCTATAGTCATTCAAAATATCTGCTGCAGGTATAAATTGTTGTTCTTCTTCTTCTTCTTCTTCACAATCTTCCCACATAAATCCACTTCAACAAATGCTTTTAAAAGTCAGAACTGAAAACAATTTCGTTTTTTTTTTTGTTCCGGTCGGTTTCTCCACACTGGTGTTCATATAATAATGTTCCATAATAAAAGAAACCACAGTTTGGCACCAAAACCATTTGATAGCTTTTACTGTGCCAGATCCCAACACACTGTTGTAAAACAGCTTACTGTTTCATGATTTAGCCACTCATTTTCCATTTTCAAGTGGTGTCCATGTACACTCAGAGCCGAGATGCTGGAATACAGAGCTAAATGTAGAGAGCTTCGTCAGTGATAAGAAAAGGGCACATTTGCAAGCCAAAAAATTTGGAAACATAGGAAAAAGTTTCTGAATGTTTGACAGCATATTATCAGCTGTTCCATGTGAGGGAAAAAACATATTTGTTTAATTTTTCACATTTGGGTACAAACTGAGACGGATCCTCTCTCTACAAGCGGAGAAATTTGCAAAGAATATGCAGGCGTCTTTATTTTTAATTTGAAATATTCTGAGAAATTTTTCCTTCTCCCTCTCGCTCTCACTGCATAAGCTTCCTCAGATTCCCTCTTCTAGCAACTGCTGTTTGAAACACCCTGAGAGAAAAAAAAAACTGACACAGATTTTTTCTTTTTTATGGCGGATGATTTTATTAATGTTTTAGTGTCACTCCTCCAAACAGGAGGGGTCATTAAAATGATAATTTACTATGGGATTTAAAATATTTAAGCATGACTTAGTTTTAAGCCAATTTTAAGCACTAGATCTCGTCAAGTTAAACTATTACACCACAAATTGGGCATGACATGTTGTAGTTCCTGCAGAGTTTGATTAATGGCCACGGTGTTCACTGATTTTTCTGCTTTTTGTAATCACCTACACTTAAAGGGCTGATTACCAGACATAAGACCAGCTCACAGTGAGAAGGAGTTCACATGATTAGAGTGAAGTATGGGAAAATCGGAGAGCTTGCCTGGTGAAATCAAACAGGCTTTAGCTTAACATGAAACTAGGTAAGCAGATTTTGTGTTTTGTTCAAATTTGCTGTGCAGGAATCTACTTAGAGTCGCTGCCAAGTTGTTTCTCCTGAAACATTGGTTGAATCTCTCTCCATCAGCAAGCTTGAAATATTTCAGCTAATGAAGTGCACTCTGACTCAAAAATGGCCTCAAGTATACAGTATGTCTGCTTTCCAGCCTGATATTTCCTTGGCATGGTGCACCTTCTCCGAGATGCAGATGATTGCAAAACTTTCAAATTTACTCTCTAACTTCGTGGAGTAACAGCCTCTTATGATCTGACAAAAAAAAAAACAAAAAAAAAAAAAACAGCTGGGATATGCAGCGACAGCTTCACTTTCCCAGGAAGATGCCGTGATTGAATACTAACCGTGCGATGACCTTGAGCTGTTTTAGCTGTATCGACAAAACAATATGTACACACCTATCATCAGCCGAGGCATAAATCACTGTTACCACGGTGGACTCTAAATCAAGTGCTTGTCAGTGGGTGGGAACCCAGAGCTGCTGCGAGCCATCAGGGCCAAAAGGGAAGGCCCGGTTCAGAACATAATTACACATGTCAGGAAAACCACCGGGTTGGGAAATGTAAACAGAAGCTCAACAATGTACTCATTAGGCTGCCCTCGGGGGTTTTAGGGGCAGCCAAGTCCCGGCACAGAATATATATATATATATATATATATATATATATATGTGTGTGGGGCTGTAGATGGCTTCAGGTACCATGGGGATGTGAATCTGATTTGGGTCCTCTAGAATGACATGGACTTTATTTCTCATGCAGCCCCACAGACGTTGCCACGTGTGCTCGTGTTGAGTTACTCCACACAAGTGATTTGATTAAAAAAGATGTCAAGAATAAATCAAAATGTTATGATCGTCTTTAATATATTTCCTGTGACACGACAACCCTTTTGAAAATAAAACACTCATTTGACAGCTTTAACTACTTTTATAGCAATTAGCAGTAATGAAATATGCGCGTAACCTCCCATAGAAACGTTGGTCTTCAAAGCACCGGTGTTCTAATCTGACTCCAAACCTAGCTAGCTTTCAGTGTTCTTTTTAAATGAGTAAAGTGCTGCACTCAGAGGCTACTGATGGTTATTTTATAGGGATTGAATAAAGTCACTAACCCAACTGCAGGGCTCCCAAATTTTAAACATTTCAAAGAGTGAGACGGGGTCATGGGGTTGGGAGCAGACAATTCGCCGACCGTTTAGAGCCTGTAATCTGTGTCTCTAAGTGTGTGCGCTGCCGTAATGAGTGGATGTCCCCACTGTGGGACTAATAACATTTACTCTATTCTATTATATTCATTCATGTCAGCCAGTAGGATAAAAAAAC